GGAACATATTTAATTAAAGTATTTCACAATCAATTGTCCCTCAATTTTTCACATATATGTCTTGAAATAAGTGAGATATGGTATGATATATTTAACTGTTAAATATAAACGATTTAGTATGAGAGCAGAAGATGAAGAATGCAAAACACTTAATAAAAATCTGGTTAAAAGAATTCTGAAGCCATGCACTAGGCATTGCGATCTTCAATGGAGGTTCCTCTAGTGGCAGAAAACTTGTACAGGTTGGTCTGCTACTGAAAAATTTTGCCATACAGTTCTGAGATCTTTCCCTTTATCCCAAATACAGTAATCTTCTCTCAGCCTTCATTTCCAGCAAAACAGCAAACAGTAGAAATAACAGATTTTACTCTTTCATTGAAGGAACAATTTTAAGAGCTGATGTGATTCAATGTAAAAGATTGCAAAAAGTATCTGTCAAGAACAAAAGATGGCTGAACATCTCTACCAATGCCTAGTTCCTGTCAGAGGAGCCCATAAGCTCCTAACTAAAAATGCCAGTGACCTGATACCCTTTTTTTAATGTGGTGCTTGTTTTGGCCTTTTTTTTTTTTTACAGAAGTATTTTGCTGTCCAATGAAATATAGTTTAAGGAGTAATGATTTTATCAATACGGTGCTGAAATGATATAAGACCAGTTTAAAAGCTTGCATACTGTAGCCATCGGTGTAAAGCATTCATTTCTACTTCACGAAAACACAGTTTAGACTTTTGCTAAGCAGACTAGTGGTAGGGCTTGCCTGAACCTCTGCTGCAGGACTATGACAGTACTTAACGATATGGAAGTCTCATAAGTCTAGCAGAAAGAGCCAAGCATGGACACGGGCTTAATTACACGCAGACTCAGTGAGTATTTTGATAATTGCATTCAGCATGAATAAGAAATGAAGGCAAAAGGGCGAGTCTAGAAATACACAACCATCATGCAGGTAAAACAGCTGCAAGTATGAGATGTCAGTGCAAAATTCAGAGATGACCAAATAATTACAATTGGGCAAAATGACAAACAACTATATTCTAACTGCTTTAGGCAGTGAAATCTTTAAACTGCATGCAGCATGCATGCAAAATAACAGAGTAACAGGTGAAGAGGGGAGGAAGTAGATTCCGCCAAGGCAGTGTAACATTCCCTTCTTCATTCCCACTCTCCTGGATGACCTTCACATCCCAGTCCAGCTCTCAACCATCAGCTCAATCAGGTTAATAATGTGGCAGCCAACAACTGAGTAAACAGAAGGGAATTCCAATTGTCCAGTTCTGGCAACAGGCAACAAGCTGTGGATTGGAGGGATTTGGGGGGACTAGGCTCTAGAAAATTCTCTTACCATTTATATGCCAGACTTAAATGTGTACTAGGCCAAGCAACTCTTCCAGACTCTCTGATCCACTACCTTGACCTCTGGAGCAATACGTATGAAGAATTACACAAGACTTCTCTCCAGGACAAAATCTGATTAGGTATTTTCAAAATAAGACAACATTTTAGAAGACAGCTAAAGAAAATATGCTTCTAGAAGGTACTTTTCCCCTAATCCTACTAATTGAAAATTCATATTCCTTTCTTTTAGCCTACGTTAGTCTTAATGTAATTTAATTAAGTCAAAATGTATTGACTTAATTTTCTTTTTTGTTTCCCCTCTTTTTTATGAAAGAGCAAAATGGAAGGGAAAAAAGGCAATTAAACTGACTTTCCAAGTAAGGGAAAAAGTCCTAAGTAACTAGAGCTAATTTGATGACAGAGAAGTCATGCTGTGCTACTCCAGGGGAAAGAAAGCTAGTATGTGACCTTATGGTAAGGGACAAGAAGAGAGCTATGCCAACTTTGTCTTGACATGATCGCCTTTGAAGGACACAAGACAAGAGCTAACTTATCAGCTGAGGTGCAATTAAGAACTGAAGACTAAATGTTGTTTTGATGTACTACAGCGCCCAATGGTAGATCTTGTTCCCAGAATGCAAGAGAGCCTCTACCAGCACATCCATCTACAAGCATAACTTCAAGGGCTCAGGAATCTCTAGGTCTAGCCAGGGAAAAAAAAAAAAAAAAACACCAACCAAAAAACAAACCAAAACACTTTTACTTTACAGAGTAGGCAAGGCTACCTCATTTGGAGGTACCGTCTCTGACAGAGGCTTTCTTCTCTACCTACCTGCCACAGAACAAATGAGAGCAGACTTTCAAAAGCTTAACAAGGCACTCAAGCAACATTGAAAATGGTTACCTTATCAACCAAGCTCTGTGAAGCCTTAGAACTTAGCTGCTTTTCCCCCACAGCCTTCTCCACCACAGCTTCTCTTGCACTTAGCATCACTTCAAAAGAGACTCACGCCACCAAACTAACACATGCTTCAGTTTATTTGTTCTGTATCCACCAGGTGCATTGTTTGCCTCATTTCCTTTTTATTGACCTTTCGTTGTCTTTTACACTACCATTTTCTGCTAGTCTTGCTGGCCTTCCAGCAAGCAGATGAGCCCCAGAGCTTTCAGCTTTCCTGCTACGATGATATCTCACAACATGAGCTTACATATATGCATGCACCACACATTTGTCACTGGATAACGTACATATAGAACTCTGACCTAGTTTTTTATAATCTCACTCAAAGCTTACCCTTCTTCCTTTCCCACTACTGTCAACCAGTTGTATTTTACCAAAGATGGAGATTTAAGAGTTATTTTCTTACTCTTGGGGCTTTGAGTTTCAAGTTTTTCAAAGCAGCAGTTGTCACTAAGTTTCACATAAGCATCTACTATACCTCAGACTTCTAAAAATTGCAAGAGCAAGAAGAGGCAGCGGTGTCCACTTAGTAACTCTGCATTTAAACAGCCATATCCTCCACAGTCTCCTCTTCCTTAGCTCCTAAGGAAAATTTTTCCAGCTTTATTACTACCCTTTTAGACACTCTTTATCAACACCACAGATACTTTCAAAACAAAATATATCAACTGACCAACCTAATCAGCAATACATTATTAAAGTATGTGCTGAAAGGTAGTCTATGTCTAATACGCAACAGTGTCTAAAAAGAGAAGGTGGCACCAACTGACCACCTTCACGGAGTATTATTTCACGAGAAAGCAAAATACAAAAACAATCTGAGATGACCAACAAGAGAAGGAATTTTGTCGCGAATCCACCGGACTAGAGGAAAGGATAAACATGCACCTTGTACTCCATCTTCCACATTATACTGATTAAGGCTTCGACTTCCCAACAAAACAAAAAAGCAAACAGTGACTAGTTTATGGTTTAAAAAAAAAAGCTATTTTCTTCTTCAGCAAAATACCAACTTTAAGATCTCCTGTCCTCTGTAGAAAAATTTTCTTTGAAAATACTGAACATATTGTTACATCTTAAAAGCGTATTTAAAGTACAACACATCGTACAGCAATCGATTTTGCGCCACTTTATTCACTAGTAAAATACATGCATACTACACCTACATGAATTCCTATACTCCTAAAAATTCCGCAATTTAAAACCTCTATTTCTCAACAGCATAGAGAAAGCTCTAATTCACGCTTCATGGAAGTCAGGTAACAGCATAAAAAGCTAGGAAAACTTCCATTTAGTCTCCGGATATCAAGTGCTCAGATTTTCCCCTGTCTGTGGTTACTAATAATATATGATCAATCACCAAATATTCAATATTTGCAGAGATAACTTTACACCTGTTAAGAAAATGACAAAAGTTTCAAAGCCCCAACAATCTGATCATTTGCTCAGTATCCTATCCACGACTGCTGAACTGTAGCCACCAATATAAATTTTCAGAAATCAAATGCCAGTATCAAAGAAACAGCTGCTAAATCACACCAAGTACCAGTTCTACTCATATAGTTTTAATTTTGCTTCCAAATATCAGAATTCATCCTTTTACCTCTTATATGCTTTAATCACTGTAAAATGAACTCAACTCCTCAGTATCATCTTCTGTCAGATACTGATATTTCTATTCTTCTGTATTAGACTTTGAGCTCCAAAAAACCCTCTCAGAACAAAAATATCAATGCTACATTGTGCTTAGCAATTTCCACACACCCCACAGCAGGACAGTATTGTTCCACCACAGACAAGCAAGCAGATCTTCAGTTAAGATTTTTTTAAATGCAAGAATTCTATTAGATAATTCAAGTAGGGATAACTGGTATTTCAAATATTCTAGAGGGAATTAGGAAAAAAGCATACTTTGTCTTAGGAAGGAAAAAACCAACAAAATTAGGTTACAGACTTGTGTATGTACATAACACAAAACTGATGAGGACAAAGTATTACTTTTTCTGCAAGATGCCTCCTCCCACACATTAAGTAAAAAAACTTATGCAGCATTTTAAAAACATACAACTGTGTTAAGAAGAAAAATAATCACAATCTGGGCAGACTCTGCAGCTGCCCCTTTGACTTATCAATTTCAGTAAGCACAATTTCAATCAAGTCTAGATAAAATATACTAATCCTAAATAGACCAAGTTTGTCACCTACCACTTCCTATAAGCTGCTTACTATCCTGAAAAAGAGAGAGAGAGAAGAAATGCTAAATTAAATGCCAAACAGTAGCAGACAGCGCTTGTTTGGCTGATTAACTTGTAGACAAGCATTACAAATAAATCTGAGCATGGTCTGCAGCAAATTAAATTCCAGTGCTTTTAAGAACAAAGAATTCCTTTGGAAAGAGGATTAGCAACTTTACACCCAGGAATG